CTTAAGCATGCACAAAAACATAGGAACTGGGGTGCTCTGGACAGATGAGTCAAAATTTGAAATATTTAGCTGTAGCAGAAGGCAGTTTGTTCATCGAAGTGCTGGAGAGTGGTACAATAGTGAGTGAGTGAAGCAACACCATGCTTCAACAGTGAAGCATGGTGGAGGTTCCTTGAAAGTTTGGGGCTGCATTTCTGCAAATGGAGTTGGATATTTGGTCAATTAATGTGAGGAAGCCTACATCCAAGCCTAGGATTAATCGTGTTCTTAATCCTGAGAAATACAGGCAGATACTTATCCATCATGCAATACCATCAGGTATTTGCAAACACACAGCCAAAGTCATTGAGAACTATCTCCAACGTAAAGAAGAACAAGAAGTACTGGAAGGTATGGCCCCCACAGAGCCCTGATCTCAACATTATCAAGTGTGTCTGGGATTACATGAAGAGCAAAATGGAGGGACAGTATCCTGGCATATCCACCAAACTGAAGACACAACAATAATCCATATAGGAATGGGACAATTGGGTTTTTTTTTAAAGCCTTCTGACACTAATAAAGCAGTACTTTTTTATTTCAGAGGCAGACAATGGGTAAATGGCACATGGTCATAACATCAGAAACATCTTTATTTGGCTACATTTGTGCACACAAACAAGGAATTTGCTTCCAGTTTACTTTTCTTCCTGCATGCAAAGAAAAGAAAAATCTTTTTAAAAAAGTAAGAAATAACAAGTCACAGAAATTATATGACCTGAACAATATAACAGTGGGTTATTTAACTGTGTTCGTCACAGTGACAGCCTGTGAGAAGAAATTGTCTCTGTGGTGGCTGGTGTTCGTAAACAGAGCTCTGGAGCGCCTGTTTGAAAGCAGCAGTTTGAGCAGTGTTATGTCCAGGATGTGAGGGGTCAGCAGAGACGTTTTCTACTCATTTCCTTTATTAAAGCTGAAAATCTGAACTCCAATCACATCTTAATGTTTTCATGTAAAATGTACTGTGGTAGTGCAAAGAGGGATCATTGCAAAAACACTATCATTGTATCAGTGTCCAAATAAATATGGACCTAACTCTATGACTGACGTGATGGAGCTGTTCACAGCAATGTTCACAATAATGTCCATTTAGTGCATTTCATTTGTAAGCAAAGAGTATTTATGTGAATTGCAGTCATATACTGATGACTGGCTGGTGCTGGTAAGTGCTGCCTAACATCTACATAAATTAGAAATGCTAGAAATTTAATGGCAGAGCAGAATTCATTCTCTATTTTTATGTACAAGTTCAATCAGAACGGGATGTCAGAACTGGCCTCATGTTTTTCTTTTGGTTATGCAAAATGGCAAAACATTTACTTCCTAATGTTAAGCAAAAGTCTTTGCTTTTGCTCACCAAATGAGTAATTCCATGGAAATTCAATGAGCCTCCCATATAACCCCCTCCGAATCAGCGAGTTGTAATTTTTGGACTTTATCAAGTGTATTTGACCATTTTTGTAAACATCAATGTGTTTATTGAAAGTATGCCAAATTTTATCATCATACTATAAATATATCACATGTTCCAGCCCCCCAAAGCTCATAGAGATAGATTAAAACTCCTTTTTGAATTCTTTTGAATTTTTGAGCCTTCATAATTGCTTAAACATGAAACATAGCCAGATTGAGTTCTCAGCACTGGGAAGCAAATTTAAGCTCTGTTAAAAACTTGAAACAAATCACTTTTACGCTATATCCAAGTGTCCCAGTCTAAAGCCAGAGTCTCTTTTGGTTTCTTTCTATAACCAAGTTTAAGTATCAGTGTACCGAAACTGCACCGATATAATATTGGTGACTAATTGTGACAGAAACAAGGACAATACATAGATGTTTTATCTGTTTTATGATAAGTCACTGTAGAAAAGCACATTTTGGTTAAACCTTCAAGGGCTGTATCATCATAAGGGATAGGGGGTTGATCAAAAAAAGTTATAGTATAAAAGGTCACCTTTTTGCTCTTTATGCCAGTCTCATTTTCTAGCCATGAAAATGAGACTGGCATGTCTTTTGGACTTTGGGAAAGACCTGGAGTAAGATAAGATAAATCTTTATTAGTCCCACACGTGGGAATTTTTTTTTTTGGTTACAACAGAAAGTGGACAGTACAATTTAAGAGCAGCAAAAAATTTACAAAAAAAAAATAGAATAAGATAAAATAGAATAAAATACTATGTCGTATCAGGGAAATTGCACTTAGTAATATAGCACATAAGGGAGACTGGGCGAAGGCTATCATGGTGTATTGGATGTGTGTGTCTGTCTGTCCGCACGTGTGTGGTCATCTGCAGAGACCATGTTGTGGAGTCTGACAGCAGTTGGAAAGAAAAACCTGTGAAATCTCTCCGTCCCACATCCTGGGTGCCGCAGCCTGCCACTGAAGGAGCTGCTCAGTGCTGTTGGAGTCTCCTGCATTGGGTGGGAGATGTCCAACAAGGATGACAGCTCATCCACCATTCTCCTGTCGCTCACCACCTCCACTGAGTCCAGAGGGCATCCTAGAACAGAGCTGGCCCTCCAGATCTGCCTGTTCAGTCTCTTCCTGTTCCCAGCAGAGATGCTGCTGCCCCAGCACACCACACCGTAAAAGATGGCTGAGGCCACCACAGAGTCATAGAAGGTCTTCAGGAGTGGCTCTTTCACTTCAAAAGAAACAGGTACAGCCTGCTCTGCCCTTTTCTGTAGAGAGCATCTGAATTGTGAATCCAGTCCAGTTTATTCTTCAGATGAACACCAAGGTACCTGCAGCTATCTACAACCTGAATGTACAGCTGTTTATTGGTTGCAGTGGAGGATGTTTGTGCCTGTGGAAATCTACCACCAGCTCCTTGGTTTTTCTATTGTTGATCTGGAGGCAGTTCTGCTGGCACCAGTCCACAAACCCTTGGGTCAGTTCTCTGTACTCCCTGTCATCCCCATCAATGATGAGGTCAACTATTGCAGAGTCATTAGAGAACTTATGCAGGAAGCACTGGGTGGAGTTGTGAGAGAAAAAGAGAGGGGAAGACATGCGGCAAAGGGCCAGGGGTAGGACTCAAACCTAGGCCCTCAGCTTTCAGCCATGAGACATATGGTTGCCTGTTCATCTGACTGAGCCAAAACCACGCCCAGAGAGAATCCAGAGTACCCAGTATCCAGAGAGAATACTCGCAATCACAAGGAGAACATGCAAACTCCACACAGGAGGGTTCCCACTGGCTGGTGGAGTCAAACTCAGGACCTTCTTGAAGTGAAGCATCAATGCTAACCACTGCCCCACCATGCTGCCCCACCATGCTGCCCCACCATTCACTTTGTGTCAAAATAATTTATTATCAAATGAGATTTTAACACTCATGGATGTAGCTCAAGGCTATGAAATGGAGAAACAGCATAATAGTTCAGGTGAAACAACTGAGAGGTTTTCTCTGATATATTATCAGAAAATAGAGAAAACACCCGAGTCTCTCTAAGTCTGAGACCAAAATACAAAAGGTAAACATTTTTCAAAGTCACCATCAATGGGAAAAAATAGATGAAATACATGAAATAATAAGTTCATATTCCAATTGTTAAAATCAGTATTAGGGGTTCTAGAAAAGGCGCCAAATAACTAATTTGTTTTTATCACATGGCAGTTGGAAGCTGTTTAAACCTTTGATAGGTCTAGTGATCTCTAACACATAGAAGTGTGTGGAATCGTGGCAAAAGAAAATGTGCAAAGGATCCATTGATATGAGAGATATCGCCAGGAAATGTTTTCTATAACCGGAGTTCTGACAGTAATGTGACTGCATAGGAGGACCCCCAAATATGTTCTAACTAAAGAATTATGCATGAAATAGTGGTCAGAAATTTGATTAAGCATTATTATAAGAGTCAAAAATACCATATGGAAAGCTGACATGTAAGTGATGCAAACTTAAAAATGCAGATAGAAGTTTCTAGTTTTTAAGAAAACATTTTACAATGTTTTATTTAAATTTCCAAATGTATACATTCGGCAGTATATATCCGTCTCCTAATTTAAAAAAAATGCTACAACACCAGCAGCTATGCAACAAACAATTTAACTTAAACACCTGAAAAACATCAAATGCAAAAATAAATTCTTCAAATAAATTTCTGCATATTTCATCTCTATAAAGTACAACCATCTTTGCTCTTCAACAGCTTCTTTTTCAGTTTTTTTTTAAAAGACACATTGATGCTTTAGGTTATGCGCTGTCACCATATTGGTTGAAAAAAATTTTTTAGTTAACTTAATAATTCCTCTTAGATTCCGAATTTTCCTCATTTTGAGCTCATGCAGGTCTAACAAAATTTCTACACAATATGATTTCTGCAAGTTTTTTAAAAACCTTTTATATTATCATTTGTATCTGAATAAAACATAATTTTAAACGGCTTGCTCTTTTCACAAACTGAATGTAGATAAAGCACGGGGATTACATCTACCATCTATACGTCACACCAAGTGCGTTTTCTGCAAAAGGTGTTTTATGTTTTTTCTGTAATAAGGTTATACATTATTTAAAAGCAATACAAGACATACACTGCACACACACACACACACACATATATATATTTATTTATTTATTTATTTTTTGAGTAGTCTAGTCTGTTGTTACTCCCACAGTAATTTCAGTGTGTTTCCTGTGACACAACCAGTACTTATTCCCACAGATTTGGCGGCAACTAGAGTGGCGCCTCACATCAGCAACAATAGAGCAGCTGCTCAGCAGCATCAATGGGCTCTGGCAACACTGGATGACCTGTGGCTTTGTGCGTTTGCGCGCCTTTTTTCTTCTTTCATTTCACCCAGAATCGTCTCATTAAGGCATCCGGGGTCAGTGATAAATTTGAGGTCCTTCAATCACCGCAACAAAAACGATCAAACACCATAAACATCTTTGTCGAGCATACTTTTATTGAAAATATTTTGTCATTGACAAAACAGAAATGTCATAAAACGTGTCTTTTCTTACATAAATAATATATAATCCTAGTTAACACATAGTGTTTACTGACTATTCTGTTGCACAGACTAAAATACATTTAAGTCAGTCGTGCAAACCTCAAACAAAATAACCCGTGGGGTTTACAAAAGTGTTGTCTACAACCCGTAACTCTGAAACCCCAAAGAGGATTGCATTTTTTTAAGTTCAAAGCCTTCAGTTTCTTTGATATCTGTGCTCGAGTCTTCTAGCATTAAACGCAAAATGACTTAAACTTATATACAGCTCCAACAATTCTTCTTCACCTTACTCACTAAAACTACCACTGATTTAATACAAATAGTAAACAGCACAAAATAAACAGGCGTGAGATAACTGTCCATCTAATCTACCAAGGTCTCCACATAGCAGCGCTGACAGCCTGCTGGTCTGCCTGCGCTCTGCTTGGAGCCACTGCGCTGCTGCTGCGGTTCTGAGTCTCCAGCCTGGAGGTGAAGCTGGATTTGAGGCTCATAATTTTCTCTTGGATCTGAGGTAAAGTCCTGGAGCTCTGGGCACAGCAGTTCAGGCAGGTTGGAGTGACGGTGGCAGACATGGACTGCTGGACGAAGTCGTGCACCCGTTGGCACGCGTCCTGGTCCAGGCTTTTGGGAAGCAGCGCGGAAACGCGCTGGAGGCAAGCTTTGTAACCTTCTCTGTAACTGTCTGCGGAGTCTGGAGAGAGGACAGGAGATATTTGATCAGTGGCTGGGATTTTCACAAGAAGCGTGTTAAAAACTTGGAGGACAACAGTGTGCTATGCATGTCGTAGAGGTAATGCTCACCTTTGACTGGGGTGGAAGGAAGATCTCTGAGGAAGCGGACTGTCATTTCCAGAATGTCCGCTTTTTCCAGCTTGGAGTAGCGTGCGTTATCTTTGCCAACAAGGGGCAAAATCAGGCTCTTCAAATGATTGAGACTGTCATTGATGCGAGCTCGTCTTCTCTTCTCCAG